TTCATCATGAGATTTTCTCCCCACTTTCAATTGTTTTACTTCAATAATAGGTTAGAATTTTGTGAATTTTGTACGCCTTTGCTCATATTTAACAAAGGTGGCAATATTAGTGGAGGGCACTGTAAGTCATTTACCTTGTTTGTCACAGGCTCTGCATTTATGTCAGTTCTTTGAGAACGAGTCTCTGGATCTCAGCGGGACGCGGATCATAGAGTTGGGTGGAGGAACAGGACTGGTTGGCATAGTGGCTGCACGATTAGGTAAAGCTTTGATTTATGTTTGTGCAATTCTCAAACTTCATCTCAACATGAACATAAGGAGAGCTGAAAATCTCTCACTCAACCAAACTTTCACTGCTGTCAAAATGAGTGTAATGCAGTCTTCGTATGTCGTTTAGGAGCCCATGTGACCATCACAGACTTACCTTCTGCTGTTTCTCAGATAGAGAGGAACATTGCAGCGAATACGCCTTTCTCAGGATGGCCCTCAGACGGCCCCTCTGTGTCAGCGCTGGCGTGGGGCCTGGACCACAGCCGATTCTCCTCCAGCTGGGACTTTGTGCTGGGCGCTGATATCGTCTATCTGCCTGAAACCTTCCCTCTTCTCTTGGACACACTGGTTCATCTGTGCCGGGACGGGGCTGTTGTCTACCTGGCGTCAACGATGCGCAGAGAACACGGCGCTCAGGACTTCTACGACCACATGTTACCGCAAATGTTCAGCGTGGAGCTTGTGCAAAGAGATCCTGAGAACAATATCAATATTTATAAAGCCACTTTGAGATGAGCCGTCCATCCATCCTCCAAACCGCATGTCTTGTGTAGCGTATCAGAGTCTATTTTTACATCTGGAGCTGGGAGGTTTGAATATGTACTATAAACGTATTTATAAATACCAGTTATGTGGCAAATTGTACACTTCAGTGAAATTGTTGTTTTCCATTAAATGTTTATAATGAAATGTTAATTGTAACTAACTGACAGTATTGAGGAGTAACAGAATACATATAATGCCATTATGTATTTATAATACAAAATATTCCTTTATAGTTGCAATTTTAATCATTTGTAATCCCATTACCGTTACATTAAACATGTAGATTACTTAACAGGTTACCATACATTTCATTGCCAGTTTACTCTGTGAAATGAATCCATTGATGTCTGAGGAGTGTTTTAGTGAACTTCTTGCTTATAATGTACATTACTGTCATGTAGCATGCAGTGGCAGAGATAAGAACTGAAGCCTAGTAAAAACATGAAAAAAAAGAAAGTTTTCAACTTGTAAAGAGGAGTTTGTGAACCTGAAGGG